CACAGCATTCTTAGACATAGTTTCTATGTACATCTTTCATTATACTCTAGAATCTAGCTCGTGTGGTTATGATTTAAACTGGAAGAGACAGCTGACTTTATTGACCAGTGTTTCTATTTTTCTTCATATTTCTGCTTTTTACATAGTCCTACTTCCCAGTATCTATTTTCAATACCCGTCCTTGTCACAACTTCAAGGTGAAGAAAGTATCAATTTAACAACAATTACAGTGAAAGTATCTTTCCCCTCATGGATAGAATAAAGAAAAATCTATATACTGTTAAATACTGAATTAAAAAGCCTCAGCAATATGGGAAATAGCTTAAGGTTAAAATTCTCACACCCATTAAAACAGCTACTTACACTGCGTTATCAATTTCAAAGAAAATATTGAAGGGACTTCCTCTGCCACAATGCATCTCTGAGGGCTGAATATATTTCACTGCACTTAAAGCACATGAACAATGACAATATTATGCTAAAATTTTACTTGATAGGGAGCTCAGCTGAATCTGCCCCAAGCAACAAGTAAATTATGTTTTATCTCCAGTCAATGTCAAGTACATAGCATTACAGAGAACAAAACTACTGTACAGTTTGCAAAAATATTACTTTGTTACAATGATACCAAACCATTGAGTATCTGCTTGTATTTTCTTCCTCCTTCAGGGTTCATTACTTGTGCATTTGGGGAAAAATATGCATTGTACTGTGCTATATCCTTGCTAAGTCTGGGAATGAGAAGACTGTTCATCAGAACAATCACTTCTTAATTCATCCAATTTAGCCTACTGCTGAACAGAAAATAGTTTGAGCATTGGGTGTTTATTTAGACATTTAAAGCCACTGTAAGACCTCTTTTTTTTAATTTGTCCAAACTATGAGGTACACAGTTCTGTTAACACTCACATGAAATTAAAACAAATGATTAACACATAACTCACAGAGAAAAATGAAATCCTTAGTATATGACTCAAATGTCTTCTCTTACCAAAACACAGTAGCTAAGCTCACTGAACCAAACTGGTCTCACTGTGTCATGTGGTCTTCAACCTTCCTTTGAATAAAGAACAGCAACAGCTCCTTCAAAAACTGGGAAGTACGTTGTCACACCACTGCACACACACAGCAAATTACAAAAGGCACTCAGAAACCAAATATGAAGATGCGGAATATACTCTCTCACAATAGATGAACTCCTACATCTCAGCAGTGTCAGGTTGTTGAATTTCCCCTCATGAATTTGAATATGTCAGCTTCTGTAAAGTTAGATGTTTCACAGAAATGCTGCAGTTGATTTTGATTCGTGTTACACTTTCTTGTAAAGGACATCTGGTAATAACAGATACACCATCCTTTTTGTTTATTTATTTTTAACCCAATGCTTTCTTTTAACTGAAAAAAAGTGGTCAAGTTGATTGAAAGACATGACTTTCTGCATCCAGAAAAGACTAAGCCTTTTTGTTGTTGCTCCAGCCTTGCAAAGTGATTAGCTGTTAACTTCCCAAAAACAGAAGCATATCAACAGCAAATCAAATTTTGGCTGCTGTTTATCATAAATCAGACTTTGTTGACCACATTCTTGTTTTGTTTACACCAGTGTAAAACAGGAGTTTTAGCGCCAATCTCTGCTAAGCTGAGCAGAGCTGTTTAACCTACAACTATAACCACATCCTGTAGCAGAGTCATGATGTGAAGAAATTAAAGGATTTTCCTCCTTTCAGTTAACTTTGAAGGCACTGAATGAGAAAAAATTACCCGTTTACAGAATTTCAGAACATTACTGACATTTTTTGCAAGTGAAAAGCAACCTGATAGCCCAAGGAATTCTATAAAGGGTACATGTAGAGGAAGATGTTTCAGTAAACTGAAAGGTTTCAAGGAAAGCATCTGTGGCTCAACGGGCAAATTGTCAAAAATCATGAGCTGCATATTATCGTTCAATTTCAAAGTTTTAACTTAAAAAACATTTATATTTTCAAATAACACATATTACATGTTTCAACTTTATGCATCAGCATACAAAGATATCATTCGTACTATAGTTTTAATTTTATCAGTTAAAATTTTTTTATATCTCTTAATCATAACTTAGTAATAGATATATTCTTTGTTAGAGCTTTTTGCTCTAAAGGAAATGCTGAAATGTCAGAATGACGTCCATGACAGAACAAAACAAGTCCTGCTTGCTTACTGCTGAATCTTTTATATAATTTCCAAGCACTCTGAACAGTATCTTGGCTAAACTAAGTTCACCTTCAGGAGGGAAGATGTCAATCATACTGCCTGAAACAATACACATATCACTGTAAGACAGAGAGCAGTGAGACACAAGACACTTATGCTGTGCAGGTCAAGACATATGGCAAGACAAAGACTTTGAACTCAAAGCCTGCATCTCAACAGATTAGATTCACAAACTGAATTGGGAAATTCTAGAAGTGAATTATTTCTGATGCACAGCAGGAAGGAGATGGTGACTCATTGTTCTTTCCTCCTTACTTTGTGTCCTAAATCTTAGTTTGGAAATAGCTAACATAGTTTGATTTGAACGTGTGTCTTGGACAGAGAATGCAATGAAACAGTGAAATTTCTTGACATTTAGTGCTGCTTTTTTTTTTTTTTTTTTTTTTTTTAAATGAAGTGTGATGAAGAAATAACTTAATAGAACTTCCCGGTAAGAGGGCATTATGATAGGCATGAGTTAGGAATCAAGTTCTGGAGAATGTGGGTGCAAAGCTGTTTCATTATATCATGATCAGATACAAATTTTTCAAAAGCTGGTTATGACATTTAGTGGTACCAGCAGACAGGATACATCCCTGAACCGGTCTTCCATCCTCTAGTTCAAGACGACTTGTTATAACTCATTTCTGGAAAACCATTGAAAGCCAGTTTCTTTTTTCTGTTGCTTCAAATTCTCTCTGAGTATCATGAAATCATAGAATATTCTGAGTCAGAAGGGATGATGCTGACTCACATTCAACTTGCTGTCAGCCTGAACCACCAGATCCCTTTCTAACGGTCCACATTCTAGCCACGTGTCTCTCAGTCTGTACATATATACAGAACTGCTCTGTGCAGATGCAGAATAGCACATGTGCTTGTTAAAATTCATGCAGTTGGTGATTGCCAAGCCCTTTGGTCTGTTAAGGTCTCCTTGCAAGGCCTATCCACCCTCAGGGGAGTCAACATCTCCTCCTAAATTCAGTACCATTTGCTAACATACTTGGTATGCATTCAAGCCTTGCATCACGTAACAACAAGTGACTTAGCTAGTGAGCACACTACAAAAAGGACCTCATCCTTGCAACATGAAATCATCATTTGATTTTCTTTTTACAAAGAAATATTTTGTTTGTTACCGTGAGAGAAGGAATATCAGGAAAAAAAAACAACAAAAAAACCACAACAAAACAGTTGGATATTTGAACCCAAAGCTGGCAACTAGTTTCATCTCACGGTCACTTTCAGAATGTTCCCCATATCTTACAGAGATGCCAATGAACTCTATAGATCCTTTGTGACACTTTTTCTATCATTTTCAACAGTTACAGCCAAAAAGTAAAAAAATAAAAAGCTTAATGAAGTCATAAATGAATCCTTGGAATGTCCAAAGAATAAATTCTACAAAATAAATTGATTGTTAAGGAATCTGTTTCTACTTATGCTTTTAGTACCCAAGTTCATAGTATTGTGATGTGGCAGGACCTATGTAAACTCTGGGTAGGTTCAATATACAATCATGCTATGGCGTGTTTCTCTGGGAAACAATATATTTTGATGAGCATTTTTTGGTCTACTTCAATAAAGCAAGTCAAAATCATGTACTAGATCTCTTAGAATCGTATCTCACTGTAGTTTTCACTGAGCTTGCAAGCACTGCAAATGAAAAATGAACCCCAAACTCTTTTCTGCTCTCTTTTCCACAAAATATATGTGCATAAATAATCTATTTGTTACTGCTGCTTTTGTTTTTCACATGTTACTGACATTCAAGTGGCAAAGTTAAACACAATTTATTTTATCTGGAGATGTATTTCCTATCAAAATGAATCTCCTTTTTCCCTAGCTACCAACCTCTTTTATAAAAATACAATGATGTTCTAGCCTCTAGCAATTTAAAAAGCTCAGGACTATCCGTTATGTATTATTTGCAAATTATTCCCTGACATTTTTACACGCTAATGCAAAAAATCACATTATTAACATATTTAGGATTGGGAACAAAACAAGTTATATTATTTTTCCCCAGATAAAAAGCTACACCCGCAGTTATTAATTCTGCACAGAAAATGAAGGTTCAAGCCCTTGATTTCACATTAAATTATGCTTTACTTCACACTGACACACTTTTTGTTGTTCCTTCAGTCTCCCAGGCAGGCAGACAATAACTCAGATTACCCAACAGCCTGGCAAAGCCTTTCCTCCTTGAACTGGTTTTGTATGTCGCTATGGCATTGCTTCTTCTGCCTTTCTTATTAATTTGGAATAATTTGGAATACCCTCAACATACCTCCTGCATGACCCACACTTCCCTCAGCTCTATGTCTGTATGGAAACCTATCTGTTGTTGAATCATGCAACACCATGATCATTGTAGAACAACGGGGGCTATTTTAGCTCTCTATATGCAACTGCATGGCAAGTCTTAATATGAGTTTAGATCAAGTGCTTTTCCTCTTTCATTTGCACATGAGAGAAGCAGAGCTGAAAGCTATACATGCAGGTACAAAGGCGTCTGCAGATTCTATGGCAATTTAAAATATTGTTTGTTGTTGTTAGGAATGTATATCAGCCTGTATTACTGAACAAATGCATAGTTTCAGCACACTCAAATGTAAATTAGTGAATTAATGTAAAACATGGTTTCATAGATTACACATTTCACTAGGAAGCATTCCTCAAGATAACTTGCTAGTCTAATCATTTTATTTTTTTTTTTTAATGAATATGAAATAAAATAGGCATTAAAGAAAATGCAGATTTTTTTTGCTTACCAAGTTAGCACTGCTGTAGTTATGTTTCACATAAATTTTCAGCTGGCGGTCCTGGGAAAAGAAGATGGAGAGCTGCATTATTACGTAATGCTCTAAGAAAACAAGGCAATACACAAAGAAAACATAAGGCCTGTCAAGACTGCCTGCCAACAAAAGTATCATAACTAAAATTGGTCAAAGCTCACAAAATGGCTTCTTGATCTGAAAAACAACAAGTCAGTGTGCTGCCAACACAATAAATATTTGAAATAGTCTTAGGCCATTCTGAAAATGCAAACAACCTGTACATACTACAAAGAAAACACAGAGGATTGCTACTATAAAATGAAGTGGCAGAAATTAAGTTTTGGAAAACAGTCCATTTCATTACAACACTTCACATCAACTGCAGTGCATTCCAGAACATGCCAAAAGGCTTTTTCAGCAGTCTCCAAATACATAGTAACACTAACCACAGGGGAAATAAAGCCACTACAAACAAAGCAAAAAAAACCTCACAATTATTTCATGCTTGCCACTTCTTAAAATTAAATAAGAGTAAATTTGTCTGATAGGGCTGTTAGGACTCTGAGGTTGTCATGCTCTTTATTTCCTTGGTCACCGCACAAGATAATCACTCACTTCTCCCCTTTGTGCAAAACCAAGCACAAGCATGACTCTTAGAAAAAAATGATTTCTCAAAGGAAGGACACCAATGATCGACTTCAATAAATGTCTTCAATGTTTTAAAAATTTTAACACAATATAAAAGGAACTGAATGTTAGCGTGAATGGTCTATTAAGTGCTAAGAAACAATGCTCAAAGTGAAGTTTGCGTAAGTATCATCACTGTTCATTAAAATTAAGTATAAGAAGGACAGAGACTTTGTAACCTGATTCACGGTCTGCTTCTGGTATGGTGGTAAAGTCAACCAGCCTTCAGAAGCTGGGTGCTCTGCCCACAGTAAGACTAAAGGTCAAGTAAAGAAGCTCCATTAGGTTCATGTCCCAATGGAAAGCACACGGATTGGGCTGTGAGCCTTCCTTTAAGTGACACTAATCCTACAGCACAGGTCAAGATATAAATAAATCTTAAAGAGCAACAATTTTGTACCAAACTTGCAGTCAGTACCTGAGCTAATATAAATCACCAACACAGAACTGAAAAATCTGGGGGTTTTCTCCTTCCTCCCTGACTTTTTCTTTGTTTACTTGTTTTAAAACATTACCAGTTACTAAACTTATACAATATTAATATTTATTTACCCAATATTTTTAAACTGTATTAGGCTTTTGACATAAATTTTTTAAGCTCCTCAATTTCAGCTTTAACATTGTTAAATGTGTTAAATGTAAACACTCGGAAATCAACTTCCCTAGTACAATTTTTGTTGTTGTTGTAACATTAACTTTTGTTTGTTGAATACTGACAAGAATTTAATAATCACTACACCATACCACACTACATCAGTTAGTCCTAGCTACATCCTTTAAACAACTATGTATTGTCACGGAGATATTAAAATTAAGTATAACATTTTGGTTACATAGCTTAGCAATCTGTCTGATTTTGTACATATAGACATAAGAAAGTAGACCTAACAACCTTTCTACAAGGAAATACAGTTCTAGAGAGAACATCTAAACCTCTAAAAAAAAAGACTGAACAAGTACATGTAGCTTTGAAAAATGATTAATTCACTTACAGAACAACAAATTTACCAACAAACAGATTGCCCACCAAGTGTTGTATTAACATATTGGTAGAGGAATTAGAAAGTTACTGCAGCTCTTTTAGGGCGTATAAGAAAGGCCATTATGGCTACACTAACAGGAAGATAATTTATGCATCACAGTATCTGTTAAGTTCCTTTATACTCAGTAAAGGAAACCAATATTTATTTACTGTGTAAACTAGAGCATGGTATCCTTCTCTATACTGGAACTCTCCCTAACTGAGTATCTTGTAAGCATGCCATGAAAACAGTTAAAAACCCTTGGCAGGCTTAGGGTAGGGGTAAAACAAGGGATTTTTGTATAACCCTTGCTTCCAGTTACAAAAGAAGAGTGAATTCTCCAGCTTCTCTGATGTTATGAAAACACCTCTCTGGGAGACTTGAAGATATTTCAGTTAAAGCACAAGGGAAAGGGAAAAAAAAAAATAAAGTCCTTACATCTAATCACAACATCTCTCCACTGACTACATTAGCATGAGATCTTTTGTAACATAGAGCCTGACTGATAACAGTAAATAAGCTGTTGACAATGTTGACAAAATACCTGAGAGAAGATTCATTTCAGAGCAGGCAGATAGATTCATACTATAGAAGTTGGTTTTACAGGATGATCTACCTTAAACAGTTTGACAAGACAAAATACAGTTTGTGACAATACTTATTTACTTTGCCTTTTTGACGCTAACATGAAAATAATTTAATATAGTGGGAAGCCAAGAAATGTGCTTTTTGTAAAGCAATTCCTACTTTATTGCCTTGCAAACAGCATATTCTGAATTGCTGTTGTGATGGCATTTATTTCCTTTATGGTTATCACTGAAATGTTTGATAGAAAAGGTATAATATATTCTGATGTACAAATGTATAGAATTTGTTCATATTCTAAAACTCATGTAGTCAGTTTATGTTAACAGTCCTTACAAACTTCTAGAAATAGCTGTAGATCTATTCTCCTTCTCGCAGTTGGACAAAATTATTTTGCACCTAGTTTGATTTATTACCTGTGACAAAAGGAATGAACACAATTCAATTACCTGGCTATCATGTGAATAAAACACGACTATGATTCAAATCCTGCTCAAGATATGAGACTTATCTCCAATCAGAGTTAAAAAAATGCTATCTTCCTACTAACCAAATATTCCAGAGCTAAATGTCAACTGAAAACAAGCAAACAATGAAAAAAAAGAGTAGCCTTCAAAATACTGTGTCCACAGACCAGACCTTTCCATTCAGATTTCCTGGAATTACATGGAAGTGTTGTCCTCCAACCTCAAGAATTCCTAATTTCAGCCACACCTGAGAGGTGATTGTCCATGTATTTATTAACTGTTCTTGTCAGGACACTGATGTGCTAATGCTTATAGAATCATAGCATCGCTGATGTTGGAGAAGACCCTCAAAAACATCAAGTCTTACCAACCACTGAGACAATTAAGCTTTTAAGATCATTAAACCTGATTCTCCAAGCTTGAACGTGCATTTTAAATGCACAGCACTCCTTCGCCCCCCAGACACCTGTTAATGCTATCCCATCAACACAGGGCTACCAGGGGTTGTGTCCAAAATGGAAAACTTCTTGCAGCTCTTTTCCTCCAAAGTCTATACAGCAACATACTAATTTCAGCAGAGGGCATCAGTTCTCGCATCTGCAGGCTTATAAAGGAAATAGAAGGTGTGCCAAAAGCATATATTCTACACAGGTACTTTAAAGGTTTAATTTCAATGATGTAAGCATATGGAAAAATGTTAAAGTAAATAATCCATGATACCTTTGAATATTTATTTTTAATCCATATACAAAAACATTTCCACAAAGAAGCCTTAAATATCGTAACCATAATACATCTTTTAATAAAGGACAGAATTTCAAAATACGAAAGTTATTATTATCATTATTTTTAATATTTAACAGTAACATTTGCCAATCCAAAAGTAATGCTTATGCTTTCATTAATATCATCAGCACCTTCTAGAAACATCATGAATAAATAGCAATTTAAAATGGCTTTGCTGAGAAAGGTTGGGGGGTGGGGAGGAACCAAGTCCCATGAACACAGGTTATCTTATCAGGACTTTTGTATAATTCCTAATTAGCTGACCCAATGTCCTTTAATTTTCATAACAATGGTAACCCATGAGACCTACTATACACCAATTAAGTCTCTCAATAGAAATGACTTGATGGATTCTTTTGCTTTTCTTTATTGAAATGATAGACACTACTTTGCCCTTCATTATTCTCCCTTGACTATTAAAAATATCTCCTTGGACTTTAATGAGGCTAAAAGACTTACATATTACACAGACATATAAAATACTGCTTCTGAAGATAAATTATTTGACAAAAATGCTACTCTGGTGAAATATAAAGAATGTTGTTAATACAAAATATTCTATATAATAAATAAATCCAATTTCTGCCTTTCTAGCTTAGTGAAGAACTCTGTGGATTTTATATTTCTGCATACAGAAAATAAATCCCAAGACAAAATGCTATTTTGCAGTCACACTTTGCTTTTTTGAAATAGCTGTGGTTGGACAATGACGGAGAAAGCACAGGCTAATGAACAGCCTCTTGACTGGGAGCCAACAGACTTGGATTCCACTTGAGCTTTGTGGTACAGACATTTCCTTTCTCAATTTATTTTCTGCTTGCATCATCTACTTCGCATTCCTTCTAGTTTAATTTTTTCAGCCAATCACAAGAGTGCGTATTATCCTTATTGTACGTTTCCATGAATTCTTGCAGCTACTGCAATACAAGCATTGAATTATCAGAAAATATCTCTGAAGATTAATACCGACTTTAAGCATTTCATTTTAACTGTGGTTCAAGCACATAGGCTTCTTGACCATAATATATTAGTTATATATGAAAAAAAATATTGGTTCATTTTAGTTGTTTCTTTTCCTGAACACTGAAGCAAAATATTTTTCAAGTGCTAAAAATCTTTCTATTTTGGGAACTGATTTCTAATGCATAGAATTAGTCTGCACTGAGACATGCATAACTGTACTTAGTTATATAAATATAACAAACTTCAGATAAAAAAAAAAAAAGGAATAAATGCTTATTGACCAAACATACTACCTATAATGATTAAAGTTTTGGAATTGTGAAGACCAGTTTATCAGGTGCCTACAGACTCCCTGAATTTCTACACATCCAAATAAGGAGTGCAAGGGAAATAACTCTGTACACTGAGTTCCAGTCGAGGATTCTGCCTTCCTGATCTCCTGTACTTTGCAGTTACTTTACTGAACATATTAAGCTTACCTAATTGAAGATTTGCACTGGTATTGAAACTTAAAAATGTGCATGAACAGTAAAAA